CCCCAAAACCCCAAAACCCCAAAACCCCAAAACCCCAAAACCCCATTCAATATAATTTTAATTGATAATTTCTTCATGAAACTAAGCATCGATTTCTCTCTTTGTTGGCTTTTGGATATGTCTCATATTTGCTCCTGGATCTGAAGGCTTGAATGGAGGATGTCCACCATATGGTCTTGGAATTTCCAAATCTGGTCTCATGTAATTGTTTGGACGAGGTACTGCATGAGTCTTAACTCCCATCATTGGCAATTGTCTCTCCAATTCTTTTCTTTGTCTTCTCTTTTCTGACTCTTCAATTCTTCTGACCCTATTTTTCTCCATTCTTTCCCACTCAATTTCGCAGTCATTTGTAGGAGGCTCTCCTTGTTCAAGTCTTTGAACAGCAGTTTCAAGGACTTCTTCTTTCCTATCCTTTTCTTCTTGAAGTTTTAATGCTTTGGATTGGAACATTGAAAGCTCACTAACGGTTGCAAGCATTTTTCTAGATAATTCAGTTGTCCTTGCTTTGAATTCATTAATTCTTTCTGCAATCTCAAGAGTGTTCTTCCTACCATCAAGAGCTTGCTTTCTAAGCTTTTCAGCAAGATTTGATACTTCTTCACAAACAAGTTCTTTTTCGAGGAGCATTTCTTTCTTATTGTTTAATCTTTCCTCCAGTACTTGAATCTTAGCTTTGAGTTGCTCTTCATCAGGATCTTCACCATCTAGATTTCTCCAGATTGGGTGCTTATCTGGATCTTCCAGTTTTTCAGAGAGATCGTATACTCTCTCTTTTGCATCATGAAGTTCATTCTTATGAGTTGCAACCTTTGATGCTAGTTCTGGGACTTCTGGAACCTTTTTTCTGATTACCTCTAACTGTCTATTTCTTTCTTTATGCTCTAGGTTGAGCATCCTGATTTCTTCTTCTTTCTCACGAATTAATTGTTCTCCACTTTTGAGGATATTTTCATGGATGTTTGATTTTTCGTATAGAATACAAAGTTCGTCATTTCTGTCGATAAGCTGGATTCCCATGTAATTTCTGTGCCCACATGCAGCTTCATATTTGTTAGTAAGATTGTTCATATCCTTTTCAAGGGAATTGATGATCAAGTTTAGCTTATCTCCTTCATTGACTTTCTGACCACTGATCGACTGTTTATTTCTACATTTAAAATCACATTTGTTGAGTTCGGCTCTTTGAGAATCTCTCTTATAGACTGCAAGAGTAACATTGTGCTTGATATCAACGAGGTCTCTATCTTTATCACTGCACTCATTTCTTAGAATTTCAACTTCATTTTGAAGAATTTTGATTCGCTCTTTCATTTCAGCCAGATCTTGGGAAGAGTTTTGAATAAGAGACATGTATTTATTTCTTGCATTTCTCACATCTTCATACAAAGCTACAAAGGAGTTAAGTCTGAACTCTGTTTCTTGGAATTTCTTATTGAGATCTAAGATTAATAACTCCTTGACTTTCAGCTCCTCTTTTGTCTCTCTTGCTTGTGCCATAGCTTGGGAAGCTGTTCTAGCCATTTTCTCTCTAATAGTTGATAAAAATTTGATTTCTTCTACCAACTTAGTCTCTTCATCTCTAAGCTTCTCGACTTGACCCTCTAGTTGTTCTATCTGATCCTTAGTGGCAGCTTGATCAGCATCCATTTTCTTCTCTTCAATTCTTTTTGAGACGAGGACTCCAAAGAAGAGCTGGTTTTCTTCATAGACTTTCTTGTCATATTCTTGCTGTTGCTTGTGCTCTTTAACCTTTTCTTCATACATTTTCGTTGTTGCTCCTATTTTATTCTCGTACTCTTTAATAGTGTTTAAGAAGTTATTTAGTTGGTATTCAGTCTTTTTGTATTTACGCTTCTCTTCTTCGATCTTTTTAGATAGAGAGTTTCGAGTTTCAGTTAGGCTTCTTTTATCATCCTTCAGCATTTTTATGGTTCGTTCTACTTCATTTCTCTCTGCTTTGAGTAGATTCTTTTTCTTTCCGTTATTTGCGAGAATAGTTTCTTCTTGTTTTATTCTATCCTCTTTTTGTGATTTTTCATTCTCCTTTTTCTCTTTCTTCTTATTCAGTTCTTTGATTTCTTCTTCAATATGAGCTACATTTGCTTCGATTTTGGCTTTCTTTGCATCTAATTTGGCAATTTCTTCCTTTGTTGTATTGACTTGTCCTTCTAACTCTTCTACTTCATTTTTGAAACTATTGTTTTTCTTCCCTAATCTATCAGGCTCATACTTTATGTTGAGGTATTCTGTTGATAACTTCTCATTCTCTTCTTTATGTCCAGCTTTATCTTCAAGGTCTTTGTTAATTTCTTCCAGGTGAGTATTTTCCTTCTCTTTTTGAGTGATTAACTTCTCGTTTGTTTCCTTGAGTTCTTGCAAGTTCTTAATCTTGTTCTTCATAGCTTCAATTTCAGGAACAAGGAGTTCTCTTTCTCTCTCACGTCTATCTCTGAGATCTTTCTCGAGGTTTACTTTGTCTCTTTCTAAATTTTCGATTTCATGTCTTAAATTAGCATCTCTGTCTTCCACAGCATCAGTCTCTTTCTTAAAGTTCTTGATTTTATCGTTTAAGTCTTTCATTGTATCTTCATTAGCCTTTTTATTATTATGAGCATGTTCTAACTTTTGAATTTCTTGTTGTAACTTTTCTTTAAGAACTCTTGACTCATCCATCAAGACTTTCTCACTCTTAAGACTTTGCATCAGCATCTGATGGACCTTGATAAACTTCTCCTTACAAGTGTTTGCCATCTCCTCTGAGATTTTGCCATCCTTCTGTATTTCCTTGATGATGTTAATGACCTTGTCAGGATCCTCTACGCTCATAGTTTAAATTTTATTTTTATAAATTCTTCTATGTCTTATATAATATATGGGGTTTTGGGGTTTTGGGGTTTTGGGGTTTTGGGGTTTTGGGGTTTTGGGG